GTCACAGGACCCCAGCAAGGATGGGGAGGTGGTAGAGGGTGGCATAACTTAAAGCCTCCAAAATACTCTTGACGCAGTGTCTGGTGCACTCTCCGAGCTCTTAATAAAGTTTGTATTGTTGGGACACCCGCGTGGCTCCGTTGGTTAAGTGTCCGACTCTTGATTTCAGCTCAGGTCATGATCTCAGGGTCCTGGGATCGAGCCCCACATTGGGCTCCCTGCTCAGCAGGGAGCCTGCTTCTCCCTCTCCCTTAGCCCCTTCCCCCTGCTTGTGCTCTCTCTCAAATAAATACAATCTTAGAAAAGAAGCTGATATGGCTAGGACTTTACAGACATGCACTGCCCTACAGAATACCGGTATTCAAAACTATGCACGTTTAGGAACGTTCACTTCTCTTACACAGTAAATAAATAGTTTTGGGAGGGGGGAACAATTTGGGGATTTGTAAAGTTGGAGGGTTTGCTGTGTGGTTAGCACGGTGCTGGCTATAAAGACTTACATCTGTGTCTATAATCTGTTTAATAGTCTGAGAGATGTGGGTATTACTGCCTCAGAGAGGAGGCGTCTGAGGCTCTGGGACATACAGGAGCGCCTCTCTCTCCCCCTGCCCCCCAAATGTTGCTTTGGGGTTGTTGGGGTCACATTGCTGGGTGGCCTCCTTTGCAGTGGCCGCTTGGTTCTGGAGTCTGATTGGGTGCCTGGCTCTCTTTATTTCTGATCCTTGAGCTCTTAGAGTCCCCAGCAGAAAACTGCATTATGAGTAAAAGCGCTGATAAACCACTGTTCTGGGAAAACTGATTTTTGAAACAGTACGGTGTCTCTCACAGCACTCCTGGACTGGCTGCCCAGCTGCACTTAGGAGCAGGAGAGAAGCGTCGTCACCCCTCCCCCACCATCCCTGAGGTCTCCCCGGGGTTGGGGGCCGGGGACAGGACTCATGCTCTGAGTTTCTTCAACCTAGAAACTGGCTGAGGGACTCGCAAGCCAGCTCTTGAGGGTTTTCCGGGTTAGGCTTCCTGATTCCTGAACTGTTGTGTGTGGGTGATCTTACACAAAATCACACTTGGTGTGTATCAGTCAGTAATGGGAAGGACGCGGTGAGGTTCGATAGGCGCCCTCCTGCAGAAACCACAGGGTGTGGTCTTCACCCCCTCCCCCCAGCATTGCAGACGCACTTCCGAGAGATTCCTCAAGGTCAGTATGTGGCGTTGTGACTTGCAATGGGGTTCCCACAACACTGATCCTCAAACTACCACTTTGTAGCTTCAGGAGATCCTCAGAGTCATTGGGACCAAATCCCTTGTCCCTCACTCATGACTGTTTATTCTGTAAATATTTACCTAGTACCCAGCAGGTGCCGGGACTTTCAAGATGCTCACGGTGTGTGGGAGACAGGAGGATGGGGGCAGAGGGGTTGAGTCAGACACAAGAGGCTTTTCCCAAAGTAAACTCCGTTAGGTAAACGCCTGGCAACTGGGTACCACGTGGAGAAAGGTTTCACAGTGAAATAGGATGGGAGATGCTGGCATGTGAATAGGATGGTCGAATTTGCAAATCTGTGGTTATTTTGAGAATGTTAGATGTGCCTGGCACAGAGGCGTGTGTCTTAGGTGCATTAGCTCCTCTTCCAGAATTTCAGTGGTTTGGGTTGGCTGCGATTTGTAACTTTTTTTTTAAATTAATTATTTATTTTTAAAAAAGATTTTATTTATTTGAGAGAGAGACACACAGTGAGAGAGGGAGCAGCAGGCTTCCTGTGCAGCAGGGAGCCCGAATGTGGGACTCTATCCCAGGACCCCTGGATCATGACGTGAGCCGAAGGCTCAGATGCCTAACTGAATGAGCCACCCAGGCATCCCTGTAACTGTTTTTGTGTTTGTAGAAGTTCAGGTTGTTTTCCATTTGACTTTAATGGGCGAGAGATGGTCTTTTCATTTCAAGAAGGGCTTCTCAGTACAGTGGAATATTATTCAGCCTTTAGAAAGAATGAAATTCCAACAGATGCTCCAACGCAGATAAACCTTGAGGATATTATGCTAAGTGACGTAAGTCATTTGCAAAAAGACATGCTATGGTTCTACTCACATGAGGCACTTAGAATAGGGAATTCATAGGATAGAAAGTAGGTGGTGGTGCCAGGTTGTGGTGGGAGAGGAGGCTGGGGGCTGTTTAATGGGTGCGCTTTCATTTCTGCAAGCTGAAAAGCATTCTGGAGATTGGTTCCACCACGATGGGAAGGTACTCAGCACTACTGAGCTTTATGCTTAGAAACGGTGAAGAAGGTACATTTTATGTTATACGGGTATTTTTTTTTTTTAATCACAACAAACCAAAAATATTATGACCAAAGAAAGTCATGTGGTGAGCATTAAAATTCACAAATTATGGGATATGATGTACCTCAGGTGCGGCGTGCATGTGAATGCCCGTGCCTATGTACTTAATTCTTTTTCACTGGGGTTGGAGATGAGAAAATAAATTGGAGTAGTTCTGTTCTACTTAAAAAAGAGAGGCCTCTCAAGCTTCTGAGGGCTTTGCCAGTTGCAGACCATAATAAGTGTACTTTGTGCTTCAAAATGGCTCCTTGTGTTCCCGTTTGAGGCTTGAGTGAGCATTTGCTGATGTGTCCAAACTATGTTTTTTAGAAAGTGCTTATACTTACTTGAGCTATTTGTTTTTTAAGATTTTATTTATTTATTGGAGAGAGAGAGAGAGAGCGAGAGAGAAAGCATGAGCAGGGGGAGGGGCAGAGGGAGAAGCTGGCTTCCCACTGAGCAGGGAGCACAATATGGGGTTCAGTCCCAGGACCCTGGGATCATGACCTGAGCCAAAGGCAGACGCTTAACCGACAGAGTCACCCAGGTGCCCCTGGAACTATTTGTTTTATAACAGTATGTTCCTGGGGTGAGGGTAGAACTACTGTAAATTGAAGCAAAGGCACCAGGAGGCAGGACAGTATCAGTTTAGGGCTCGTAATCACCAGGATTTCGGCCAAACCCTTCACTTTATGGACTGTGAAAGCAAAAGTTGTATAATCCACGGTTGAAGTTGTCTTTAATAAATCTGTATATTTGAGACCCCTTATTTAAAAAAAAGAAAAAAAAGGATACATTGAGGGATACATTCAGGGTTCAGTCTGTTAGCGGATTTAAAACTTTTGGAAGGCCATGTTCATCCTCTCCCTTCCCTCTGGGCAGGGTGTCTTTCCATGGTGATGAAATCATCTGGGCCCTGAAGCTTCTTTTCAGGGTGGCATGGTTGCCTTGTCTCTTGTGGAGCTGTAATTGAACCCCCCACCCCCACTCTCTGTGGCGTAGTTGGGTTGTTGTTAGCATTTCACGGTGGTAAACATCCTGGGCCCACAGCCAGCCAGACTACCCTCCTGAATTTATTACTACCCCTCCCACCCCAAGTAACGCCTAAAACTGTTTCTTAAAAGTCTTGCCAAATTGAACCTTTTTATAATTTTTAAATCTTTGTCCGTCTGATAGAGATTTTGTTTTTATTTGTTTGGACCGCTATTAAGGTTCCTTAATATTGTTTAGTGTGTGTGTTTGTGTATTTCTTTTTGGGGACTAGAGATCTATAAATCCTTTGACCTTTTTTTTTTTTTTTTTTGCCCCCTTTTCAGCTGTTTGCTTCAGGCTTGTGAATCGTGTGCATTATTTAGACCTTAATTCTCAGTGTCCCTGGCTTAATTTCACTGCCATTCTTAACTATATAAGCAGGCCTTCCTCCCCTTTGAGTTCTTTCCATTGATCTGTTCACTAGTGGGAGCCTGTAAGGTGTGGTGGGCTTCCCTGGCTGGAGCTTCCCCAGGAGTGTCGGGGATCAAATCTTTAAGCTTTTACATGTCTGACAATGTCTTTCTGTTGTCTTTGCATAGAACAGTAGCTTAATGGGCTCACAGGTCACTTCTGGAGGTCTCCTGGTCCACCTCCTTAAGCCGCTGCAGCCTACAATATTTTTGGGGTCCTGCTTGGGAATTCCAGGCTTTTTCTTACCAGGTGGCTTCCCATTTGTATTTGAATCACTAACTAGATGTCACAATCCAGTTTTATCTCTGGTTACCTTTCACTTTTCACCAGGGATCTACAGGCTCCCCAGCTCCTTCCCACTTGATAGTTGTGTGTTCACTTTAATGAGGGCTGAATTCATTTATATCTAATAGGAACTCTTGGTGTAGTATGGTAAATAACATCATGTGGAGGGAAAAGGTCACAGATCTAGGGCTGTAGTTTTCTGTCACAACCTACTGTGCTGTGTTGGTATTGGGTAAAATGTCTGTTAGCTCCCCCCTCTTTTTGTTTCCTTTCTTACTTAAAAAAAAAAAAAAAGAGGGGGCACGTGGGTGGCTCAGTGGGTTAAGCCTCTGCCTTTGGCTCAGGTCACAATCTCAGGGGCCTGGGATTGAGCCCTGCCTCTAGCTCCCTGCTCAGCAGGAGCCTGCTTCTTCCTCTCCCTCTGCTGCTTCCCCTGCTTGTGTTCTCTCTCTCTCTGTCAAACAAATAAATAAAAAAAAAAAAACAAACAAAAAACCCTGTATTGGTTATTTACTGTTAACTATTCTGGTTGTTATACTTAATGAAAAAAAAAGAACTATATATTGGAGCAGTAATTCTAAAACTTCGTTGGTCCCAGGATACCTTAAAAAATTATTGATGATCACAAAGAGCTTTTGTTCATAGGCATTATACTGATTATATGAATTAGTATTAGAAATCAAAATGGAAATTTAAGCCACAGCTATACGAAGGACACATTCCATTAATAAGCCTTCGGGGCAAGGTGTCACCCTACATTGGGTGGTCCCTGGAAAGCTCCACTGTGCTGTTTCTTCTATCAGAATTGAAGAATTTGATGGGAAATGCCTTGGTTTGGAGAATTTGTGATCTGAATCCACATCATCTCAGGGCCCTTAATTTACTGTCGTTTTTCAGAAGCTCCGCTAACTGCTCCTCTGTCTGGATTGTCCCCTAGGTTTCCTGTAAGGAGCCCCTGCTGGTGCACCACACCTACCGGGGGCTGTCCACCTGACTGCCCCAGACTCCGGCAGCGGGGCCCCTGATGGCAGTGGGCACCTCCCCGTGAAACCTGCCAAGCTGGACGCCACAGCTCCGCACGACGACACTTCAGCCAACTCTGTGCCCCCTTTGGAGGCGTGCAGCCATGCAGTCCTAGCCTGCAGCCCGGGCATCCCTGAGGAGCACTATGTAAGCGAGGCTGTGGAAGATGCTCCCAGCTGCAGAGGGTACCGGGATGCCTGCACCATCACCGGTAAGGGGGCCTTTCCTGCCTGAGGCGGAGTGGGGGGCACGGGGGTGTGTGGCCACAGGAGTCAGTGGGGGGAGGTGTGAAGGGCCAGGGAGGACGGGTGGAGTGCAGAGGGTCTGAGCTTTGGGATGGCGAGAGCCACCATCCAGACCCAACTTGAGATGAAGAATTGCCCTGGAGGTTAAGGATGGGAAATTTTCTTTTGTAATTTTATTTATTTATTTGACGGAGAGAGACACAGCGAGGGAGGGAACACAAGCAGGGGGAGTGGAAGAGGGAGAAGCAGGCTTCCCGTTGAGCAGGGAGCCTGATGCGGGGGCTTGATCCCAAGATCGTGGGATCATGACCTGAGCTGAAGGCAGATGCTTAACAACTGAGCCACCCAGGTGCCCCAAGGATGGGAATTTTGAACCCTGAGCATCTTGCTTGGCCTGTAGTGATGCTGGGTGTAGTTTGGCTCCTGCTCCTCTTGCGGAGGCTCTGTTTCTGATTCTCGCATAAAGGCAGGTGGAATGGAAATCACACACGACTGCCCTGTGGGGATGCAAACATGGAGAGCTGGTCCTGGTGCCCGGCATCTGCTGCCAAGGCTGGCTTAGCTAGCGTCTTACATGTGCCTGCAGCCATCATGACTTCCCTGCAGCCCAGGAGCAGAGTTCATCCCACTGGAGCTCTTGCTTGTTGTACCCCCGCCCCCAGGGATCATGGGGATGAGTGCTTGGCGGGGCTCTGAGCAGATGTGGTGTAGGCTGGTGAGCTCAGACAGCAGCAAAGAGTGTTGTTAGAGTCACCTCTAGATGCCTTCATATCAAAGTTCACCCCAGTCCTCGTTTTGTCTGCAGTGTTTACTTTTCTCCTCCTGTTTGAAATAACACCCAGTGACAACTGAAAATGTGCAGATTTGCTTCCAGTAGCTTTCCACTGATCTGTCTCACAGTTAAGCGTGGGGGACCTCCTGTATGTCAGGAGTGTCCCAAGTATAGTGGGCCAGGGGGATGGCCCAGGATCCTAGCCTGGGGGCCTCGCCCTTGTGCTGAGTTCCTGCCCAATGAGTGGCCCTCTGTCTGCTCGTGCCCTGAATCCCACCCCTGCTGGCCTGCCCACTTCTGGAAGGAGACATTTCCTGCAGCTCCTCTCCTTCCACGTCATCCATTTCCCCCTGCTCGGGGAGCTCTCCTCTTAGCACAGAAACATGCTATGATCTCTCCCTTCGTGAAGAGAATTGCTTGTGGTCCTCATGGCTGGTACCCATGTCTCTGCTTCTGTCTGTGCTCACTGCAGTTTCTCTTCTGTGCTCACCTGTACCCAGGGTGAGCAGGGTGTGAGCCTACCATTCCCCTAGCACTGAAGGCCTTGTCAGTGCAGGGGTCCGTCCATAGGCTTCATCTTCTTGCCTTTTCAGGAGGGCTTGACACTGCTGAGCACTCCCTTCTGGAAATCTGGTCCTCCCTTGGCTCCCTGATTCTCCTGTTCTCCTACCTTGCTGGCTGTTGTTCCTCCCGATCCTGGGATCCTGGGGATGTTGTAGGGCCTAGGGCTTAGTCCTGCTGGCCCCTCCCTCTCTCAGGGAGAGACCAAGTCTGTTGGCTTGGTCTTCAGTGTGTCCAGAATTTGATGGCTTCTCACCAGCTCCACGGCATCTACCCTGTCCTAGACCACCTTCCTCTTACATCTGGATTATTGCGGTGGCCTCCAAATTGGGCCACCTGCTTCCCTGCTTGCTTCTGTGCAGTCTGTTCTCCGTCTACCCACCAGTGAGGCTTTTTAAATACACAGTCAGATGATTCCTTTAACTCATCTGCTCCAGACCTCCAGTGGGCTCCTATCGGATCATGGCCAGTGGAGGTCTAAGTGACAGGGCTTTCCCACCTCTCTGTCTCCTCTGTGCCCACTCCACCCCAGACACACTGGCCTCCTTGCTAATCCTTCGACTCACCAGGAATGTGCTGCCTCAGGACCTTTGTTCTTGCTGCTGCCCAGCACCTGGATCGCCGTACCCCTGATGTCATCATGATTCCCTTTTCACTTTCTCCAAAGGGGATTTCATTAGAGGCCATTTTGTGACTGTCCTGAACAAAGAATGATCCACTGCTACCTTTCCCCTTCTCTTTTTCCTGCCTTACCTTCCTCCCCAGACTTAGTTATGAGTTACTACTGTATGTTTGTATTTTAGGGCAAGGACTTTGTGCAGCCCTGAATCCCAGTGATTAAAATCATACCTCATGCAGCCAGTGCTTGGCAAGAGGGGTCTCTTATCCCCTTTTTATAGGTAGAGAGACTAAATCATGAGAGGTTCAGTATCCTGCCCAAGATCCTTGAGCTTGAGGGGTGAGATTGGAGTGCATGTCATGACCCCAGGACAGGAGTTCTGGGCCTCCCAGGAATACAGTCCAGTGGGGTGGTCAGATGAATGAGTGAAAATGGATGGTGCACCACAGTTAGCATAGCGATAGGCATGGGCATATGGGAGCATGCTGAGAGGAGTGCTTGGCCGAGCCTAGGAGGGAAAAGTTTGTGGGAGGACCCAGAAGGCTTCCTGGAGGAGGCAGTGTCCCAACTGTGTCCTCACTTGTACAAGCATGTGAACTAACCCCCGGGCTTCCAGTGGCATCTGTGCCAGCGAAATCCAGGAAACATCCAGCCTGTTGAAGTAGTTTCACTTTCTCTGAACGTGACAACTGAGGACAAGGAAATGGTCGAATGTGGTGCTGGAACTTCAAACCCCACAGGGTGTGGTGCCTGGAGTCTCTGCTGGGAGGTTGGTGGCAAGCCGGTGGGGGACAGCTGAGCCGCAGAGCTCAGCGATGTCACACTTGGCAGCGGCTGAGTGAACAGGACTGTGAGCACAGACTCTGTTTCATGGTCAAGGTGCTGGACGGCCGGATGGTGCAGGTTCAAGTCTTACTACAGGGTCATCGAAATAGTGAAAACTATTCTCGGAGAGACCTGGAGTGTCCCCAAGAATGCCTCTCTGCCTCCAGGGGCTTTGCCAAGTGCAGTCCCGGGAGCCCACTTGGCATCAGGCCTCTGGTAAATACCCTCCGCCCCCGGTTCCCAGTGAGCAGTGAGGTGAACAGCAGACCTTTTGTTCCTTTTTCATTTTCAGGCAAAGCCCAATGTCCAGCACAAAGCCCTGCTCCCCTGCCCCCCCGCCCCCACAACTTAAGGATATCACATTTTGGGTGCGTCATTTTCTCTTTGGGGCGGTTTAACAAGATGAGCCGATAGGGTGCCCAGGCTGCCTGGAGTTACATAACCCATTGTGCCTCCAGAGCAGCCACAATCTTGGGATTTGCCCCAACAAGCAAACTGAGAAAGCTGCTGAGGGAAGCACAGCGGGGTGGCTGTGCTGAGGTCTTGCTCGCGCTGGGGTTCTCACGGAGAATCCCCTTTCTCTCTGAATTATTTTTGGAGTGGATTTCTGTACATGGCCTTGGTACTTCAGTTCGGGCAGCCCGTCGGGGCGCAGCCTCTGCCAGGACTCTGCCAAGGCGAGCTCTTTCGGACAAACGCATGTGGTAAGAGTGTCTGCTGTTTGTTTTCTTTGTGGTATGGCGGGAGAGAAGAGACCACAGGAGAAGTAGTGTCTCTCCTGCCCTGTTTTGCTTGGCTGGTTGTCCTTGGGCACATGGTGGGGAAATTGCAGTATTGAGTCATTGAAGGGCAGAGCTGAGGGTCCACAGAAGCTGGTCCCACCTTGTCCCCTCATCCCGGAGGCTCGGGGGAGGCAGTGACATGTGACCAGAGTTGGGACCAGGCCTCCCAGACTCCCAGCACTTTCCCCCTTGTGGTTCTTTGCAGCAGCTAAACAGGGAGGGTCTTCAAGCTCCCCCTCCCCCCAGCCCTTACCTCTCCAACTCTTCGATTTTTCCTAATCCTGTGTCTTCATCCTGGTTTCTCTGAACCTCACCTGGCATCTGGGTCAGCAAGGACTTTTTTGAAAGGCGAAGAAAGAACAGAGTTAGTGTCTCCCTTCCTCCCCCTCTCTTCTCTGCCTTTCCTTTTTTTTTTTTTTTTCTTCCTTTCTTTCCTAAACGTGCTTGGCCCCGTCCGTACCTCTGATCCACACCCCAGTGATGGAGAGCTTGCGAATCATCTGTGCTCTGGCTTGTCTCCCCCGCTGGGGGAACAGATCAGAGTCTGATGATGGATGAACATCTGGTGTCTGTCCTGTCTTCCTGCTCTTACCAAGAGCTGACTGGGCCCAAACCCAGTAAACTGAGAGGCAAGCCCCTCTTGGCCTGTTCGAATTGGGTTCAGTTTTCAGGACATTTAAAACAATGAGAGATGATGGGGTCTTGTGAGTGTGTGAGTGTGGGGGTGGGAGGGCTATGTAAAGCCCCTCAGGCATGTGCTACGATTCTGTTCAACCAATAGCTCCGCAAGGCCAGCATTTTGTTGGGGTCCAGCCTGAGAACTGGCTCCAGCTCTGAGCCCCGGAGGCAGGCAGAGGTCAAGCTGACCAGTGGCGGCCCCCAGAGAATTGCTCCCACTCTGCAAATCCACTGTTTAGGATTTGTTCCTTTTCTGTCGCTAGCCTAAGCCATCAAACTTGATGGTTTATCCTCTGAAAACATGCTCAGAGAAAATATTATGGATGTCTTTTATAAGTTCGGTTTAACGTCTTGCCTGTTGGTTCCTGTCTAGCGTAAAAGTCCTCATGTTTTTCCCGTTGAGAAGTTTAGCCTGAATGGTACTTGGCTGAGTGAAACAGAAAAGAATGGACCGTGAAATATCCCTTCTTTCACAGGGTGAGTTGTGAATTAGCATCCAGGGAATGACACGTTTTCTAAACTCTTAACTTGGACGTGTTCTTTTCTTCTTCATAGTGGAATCTGCTCTGTTGAGCAGTTGGTTTTTGTGCATGGAATGCCGGAGGAAGGCCTCATATGCTGATTTGCGGAGCTAATGTGTAAGCTTCAACCAAACATGCAAACATTCACATCTGTCCTTTAAACACGCTGTAAGTGATTTTGGAGGTCCGCGGCGGATCCTCCTTCCCC